TCACGGTTGGGAAGAGACTGAGAAAAATTGGATAAATGATGTACACCGCATTGAAACAGATGAGGGACAGAACAGTTTAAAAGTGATATATGATTGGGTATTACGGTCATGACAAGAGTCCAGAGTGAAGGTTGAATAGTGGAGTGTTTGTATGTGTGTGTGTGGGGGGAGGGCAGGATTCTATACCAATGAAGGAATTTTTCTTTTGCTTTTCAAGGAGAGGCACGAACTGGGGGTGTGCTGGGGGGTGAGGTGGTCAGGGAGAAAAGTGCAAAATGAATGATGAATGAATGGAAATCCAGGGTCTCTGTAAGTCTTAAAATTTTTTTAAAAAAAGAATAATTGTGACAACTTTTTGGGAAGAGGCAATATTGTTTATAGAGTACGGGGAGTTCCTGGGGAGTCCTAATAGTTAAACTACAAACCAAGAGGTTGGAGGTTCAAGAACCTCTAGAGGTTTCTTAGGTGCCCTAGAAGAAAAGCCTGACAACCAGCTTCTGAAAAATCAACCACTTGCAAACGCTATTCTGTACAGTTTTATGAGTCAAGGTTGATTCAGTGGCAACAGGTTAGAAAGAAGATCGACATGAAAGAACAGCTCAGTAATAAATTAGCTTTGTGACATGCAATGCCAGAACTAAGGGAATCTTTGCATAGCACAAGTGATTATGTTCGTGACTACTAGCTTAAAAATTTCACTTGGAATTTATGCAGAAGCACCATGGAAGTTGCACCTGGTAATCTGCTTCTGAAAGGTTACAAATTTAAAACCAACCCAGAACCGTTCTATTCTGCTCACCTGAGGTTACGAGTTTGAATAGACCCCACAGCAACCTGTAATAACAACATGATGTTGCTTAATTTTATCTTTTACTTTTCCATTTCCTGTATGAAATAGTATATTTGTGTTGTTTCAAAAATGTTATGTGGCATAAAAAAAATATATGCAAATTTCATAAGCAACTCTTGAATACTTTTCTTTCAGGGATGATTTTATTAACTATAAATAAATACTTGTGTAATATTGATGTTGTAGTGTATACAGCAAAATTTAACTTTTAGTGAGATTTTTAAATTGCTATTTCAAGTGATTTGCTAACTGTACTTTAGAACAAGCAAATGTTCTATATGCAAAGTGCTGCATTACTGCATTTAAAAAAAAGTTCTGCATAATGCCTGCACTTGATCTTGAGTTCACTGTGAGCTTCTTATTGTGAGTTTCAGGTATTCTCTCTATAATGAAAGTTTGTTATTCAAATGCACATAAATGCATTCAGTCCATAATAATAGTATTCATAGCAATCTATAAATAGTTGAAGAAACAATTGCATGAAATGCTTGATATTCATCTGAACCACATTTTGCAATTTTACTTTTAAATTCAGATTTCATCAATAATACAACAGTGGTACACTTAAGTTATTCAGGTATTTTTCTTAGCTTTGTGTGAACAGGATTCTAACATCTTAAAATTATGTAACCTATTTCACCAAAGCAGGGAAATCTCTTATAAATGTGTTCAATTATGAAAAATAAAGTGAATATACAGCATGGCATAACGTTTTAAAAGACATAAATTCACATATATTGAATCACCTTTATTAATACTGGTTTGTTATATTTTTTTCTTCCTTAGATACACCATCAGTTAAGATTATACCATCCACTCCTTTTCCACAAGAAGGACAGTCTTTAATTTTGACTTGTGAATCCAAAGGAAAACCACTGTAAGTGATTTAATAAGACATAAAGATTTTTACTGTTCCTCTGTATTGCTTTGACTGCAGGTTTCAAGTGTAGAAATTAAGTGTCTTTGTCTTTTCTTAGTGGAAAGTTATCTGAGGAATGGAAAAACACATGAACCATGTCTTCATTAAGTGTCTGGAAGGAGGTTGCTCTTTTTCTTTGTCATCTAGTTAAGTCTCCGGACTTGGTTTATTTTTGTGTTGCTTTTTTTTTTTATTCCCACCTTTCCCCCTCCCCTTAGTAAGATATTTCAATCTGAAATGTCACTGTTTGCATCATTAAAATTATGTAAGTTGCATATTCCTAAATTTAGTAGTATCATGAAAAAAAACTTGTTTTTATTAAAGAAACCCTCAAATACATAAAATGTTCACTGTTACAGTGGAATAATTTGTATTATAAAGGAAATAAAGCCTATACTTCTCACGAGGGGCTCATAATCTGTGAATGTGATAAATTTAGTATTGGCAATGATAAAATCATTTTATACTTTCAACTTGGAGGCTAGAATTTTGAAGCTCTCTCTCACACACATTGGTCACATGGCCAAGAGGGATCACTCTTAGGAGAAGGACATCATGCTTGGAAGGGAGGATGGACAATGCAGGAGAGGAAAAATCTGAATGGGATAAATTGACAGAGTAACTAGAGTAATGTGTTTAGGTGTGTTGGAGTCAGTGAGACTGTACAAGATAGGTCAGCCTTCATTCAGAGCTGTAGTACATAAGGTTGCTATGAGTTGCAGACAACATAATGGCACATAACAACTCCAATACTTCATTCAAGTCTAAAACCTTGCTTTACAATACAATTATTTTTTACTGATTACTTGTTCTTTATAAAAAGTATAAATCTCCAAATATGCAGTAAATTATAATAGTTGAAAATCATCTCTTCATTTAAATTTGATGAGACTCAAATCCCACTTTTAACTAAGTTACTGGATTTAAAAAGCCTCTAACTGATTTGCATTTTTGCTTAAATTTTAATAAGTGGAATTTGATATCTATTTATTATTACATGGGATAATTTGTGCAAACAGGTTAAATTATTAAAATAATTACTCCTTATTTATATAAAATATTCAGTTATAGGCTTCATATTACGCCATAAGTAATTTTTCTTAGAGAATATTTAAGTGAAGAGGTCTAAGATTTTAACATTTAGAATTGTATATTAATCTCTACCACAGCGGTAAATCAAATCCCTTTCATTATGATTGTGGTATAATAAAACTTATTTCTCTTATGTTATATTTTTTTATATATGCACAACACACACATGCACACATGGATGTAAGAAATATTTTAAAATTAGTTCCTTGGATTTTTTATTTAAAAAGTAAATACATATTTTAGAGCTCAAAAGGGACATTTTTTTTCAGTGACTTTTACCTATATAGAGACTGTTCAATTTACTTTCATGAGATGTTGTTGTTGTTAGTGACTGTCGAGTTGAATATGACTCATAGAGATCCTATGAATAACAGACCTGAACCCTGTCCTCTCCTGTGCCATCTTCGCTATCTATCTTTGACACATTTGAGCTTATTTCTGTGGTCACTCCACCTTGTTGAAGTCTGTCTTTTCGTTTGCTGGTCTTCTGCCTTTCCAAGAATAATGTCTCTTTACAAGGGATTGTTGTTGTTGCTGTTGCTGTTGTTGTTGTTGCTGCTAATTGCCTTTGAGTCAAGCACAACTTATAGTGATCCTGTGAATAAAAGGCCTGAAGCCCCTCTACAACTATCAACATATATCAAAGCTCATAGAGTTTCCAGAGGCATGTTATTTAGGAAGTGGATGCCATTCCTGCTTCCACACCTGTCACAGTATGTTATTGTTGTTATAACCCCTCCTAACTACATGCCCAAAGTATGTGAAGGGAACCTTCACCATCCTTGCATCTTATGACAGGAGCTCATCTCACACACTTTATATTGCCAGGAGACATCAATCCTTGGAAAAGGTTTTCATGCTTGGAAGGGTAGAGGGTCAGCACAGAGAAGACCCTGGATAAAATGGATTGACAGAGTGACGGTGGCAATGAGGTCACGTGTGTCACAGATGGTGAAGTAGCCTCAGTTTAGGGCAATGCTCAGAGCCATTGTTTATAGGGTCTATAACTATAGGGTCTAGACGTTATAGTCTACTTGATATTGGGCATATAACAACAACATCTCTAGTGAACAGTTGGCAAACAGAAATTCCTTTGCATCTTTTCTCTGTCTTAAATAATTAACTCGTGACAAAGCCTCTTTTTGTTTTTTTAAGTTTGGCAATTTTTTAAAATATTTCACCAATATGTAATTTCTTGAAAGAGTGATTCGTGGTTATTAGTCATTTTAATAGTCAACAAAATAACATTATCTTTTGTATCATTCATAGTTTACTGTTGTGTCTCAAATTGTAATAAGACTTCTGCACCTCCCCTCCTTTCCTGTATGCTAATGTTATTTTGCTTCTTCTAAATGAGAGGGGTCTAGTAACTGTTCGTGCACAATCATGCCTTATTTGCCAGCTTTGGACTGAAGCCTTTTGCCATTTTTCTGAGAAACAGCTGCATAACTTGGGACAGGACCAAATTGTTCCACTTGACACAGCTATAGAGGCATTCTATTCTCTCCTTAAAAGAGAGATTACTGTACATGTCTGTCTATTGTTTTAATTTTCGTTTAAAGTGAGGGCAGAGCTAATGCCAGCCACTTTTCTTTCAACTCCCCAGAGTTCTTGAAACCCTCTTCTCTCTTTGGCTAAATTCCCAGACAGCTTTCAGACTGCCACATTTCACCATTTATGATAGTAGGATGAGGAAAATCCTTTATGTTACATTATACTCATGACCTTAAAAGGTGTGGGGCTGCCTCACTCCATGCTATAATTGAAAAGCCTTCTTTAACACTTCATCAATTTATTTCAAAAGAGCAATGAGATCTTCTAGTCAAAGAAATGTGTATTTGGCATTTTTTCTATACTGGAAAATAATTATACATATTGATAAATTATTCTGTATATTTAGCACAATGTTTGTGTTGTACTTACTATTTTACCTTCTGTTAGCTACAATTTTTCTTGTGTCCTTGGCATAAATCTAGTATGCATAATTGCACAACACATTACATCCTTATTTTACACAACAAGAGAAATTTTAATCCTTAAGAAGACAAATCACATACCATACAGTAACTAGTGAGTGTTGAAGAGGAACAGTTTGAAAATGATCGGTAACAAAAGAAGAAATTTGATAAGACATCATTAAGTCATTACCTCCTAGTCTAATTTAGATTTCCTCTGAAAATATGAAATGTAAATTAAGGGCAAACAGTTTTATATCAAATCCATTTTCTCCATCTTAATATCTAGTATTACAAAACTCAGATTTCCCCCTTATTATCACACATACAATTATAGTGAAATGAAATAATAAATGAAAGTGTTAAAAGCGTCAAGTTTTCACCCATAGTGAAAAATTATAAGGCAAGCTGTGACAAAATTTGAATTCTTAAATAAAAAGGCCTGGTTAAAATTGTTTTTCGTCAAACATTCTTCTAAGTGGTATAGCACTGGTCTGTGCATTGCTGTAAAGAGGTCGCTCATGGTTGCTGTGATGCCAAACACTGTGATACTCATGTGTCACATGTGATAATGGTTACCCATAGTGGACAGAGCTTGGTAGAGCTTCCCGATTAAAACAAGCTTAGAAGCAGGAATGGCATCAACTTCTGAAATGGCTTGTCTCCAGAAACTCTATGAACAGTGCTCAGGTCTTTCATTCATAGGGTCATTATGGGTCATCTACGACTCGATGGCACCTAACTACAACAACAACCAAATAAAAGTTTAGATCTAAAATAACAGCAACCTCATATTATTTGACCTAGCATATAAAAGATGTCCTGATATGTCTAAAAGATGTACATAAAGCTATATTTCTGTAAAAAATGTTAATGTTAATAATATTTCTATTTTTTCTGTCAGATAATATTTAGTTACCATCAAACTACATTTATTTTCATATTTGTTGCCTGATTGTCATGCTTTGGGTAGAACACAAGATATAATGAAGGGAGCATTATATAGTAAGCCTTCAGCTTTCAAGGCCTCAGTCATCTTGAGCAAGTCACTTAAACACAGTGGGTATTTTCAGATATTTGAAATGGAAACATTAAAATAAATGGGGGAGGGGAAGAAACCCAAACATAACCTCTACAGATCTACAGAGTACTGAAAAACAACGGTGCCAGTCTAAGCAATAAGTGTGCCTAATCCAGTCCATGGTTTTCGCCATTACTAGCTATGCATCAGAAAGCTGGCCAATGACTAAGGAAGACCGAAGAAGAATTAATGCCTTCAAATTGTGGTGCTGGAGAAGAGTCTTGAATATACTGCCAAGAAGCCATCAAGAAAATAAATATGCCTGTCTTGGAGATGGTGAAATCTAGTTTGGTTTTGGAGGCTAGGATTTTGAAGCTCCATCCCACATACTTTGGGTATGAGGCCTAGAGAAATCAATCCTTGGAGAAGGACATTATGCTTAAAAGAGTGGAGGGACGGACAGTGCAGGAGAGGAAGACCCCAGATGAGATAAATTGATACTGTAACTGGGGCAATAGGGGTTACGGTGTCAGAATTAGTGAGACTGGCTCAGGACAGGACAAAATTCAGAAGTGCTCTACATAAGGTTATTATGGGAAAGTACGCAACTCAACAACATATAACAACAACAATGAAACACTGCTTACTAAGTCTAATTCCAAGTAAATTCATAATAGGTAGTGTCCATAAGAATACTTATAATAGTAATAATAATAATAAATTATTATTTGTTCACAAATTCCATGCAGTGTGTTTTGCCACATTTTAGACTCAGAAATTTTATTTATGTGGATAATTCTCTTAAAGAGCACTAGAACTACTACAATTCTGGAAACTTAGTTACCCTCCATAATGTCTTGAAGTTCTAGATTTCAGGTTTCCAAATAAAA